GCCGACCTAAACTGCCTCCTGGGGGCTCAGGCCGAATCTTCTCCCCCGCCATTAATTTGCCTTAGCTAGGCTCCCCTCTTAGTGGCTCCTCGCCGCCTGCGCCCCCTTTTCCCTAAAGGGGGTCGCTTCCGATTCGGGAGAAAGGCCACACAAGCCAATGCCAGTCTTATGGTGTTTAGTGGGTAGGCACTTAGGTTTCGCAGTTAGTCCCATATAACCACGACAGCCGGCTGTCGTGGTATGCTTAGAGTATTCGCCACCTCCCTTCCCCGCTTCCCGGAAGGTAGCTCTTTTCATTGGTTCTGAGCGCAAAAAAAACTCGCCGCTCACTTAGCGGACAGCCACCGCAGAGTCTAGATCACCTGAAGATGCCTCTTGTAGAGGCGAAACACGTGTCATATTGTCGTCAGTGGTATGTCTTTCCTAGTGTAGTGGTGCTGGGATTAGTGGTGACGGTGATAGTGCACGCAATTGAGGGAGGGCGGGAGGTGCTCTTCAAACTAGATAAGACACATCATTTTATTTTATCGAGCGGATGTGCGCGAAGTAATTTTTTACCAAATTTAAAGCGATTTCATGTTCTACGTTATGTAGTTGGTTGGGATTTTACGCCTCCGAGCGTAATGACATGACTGCCTCAAGCAGCAGCTCTTTGGAATTTTATCCCTCCGAGTGAATTTCGATTAATCCCAGATATGTAGACCCTAAGCAAGTAAGCATTACATCCGCCAGTAACAGAATCTTGAATAACGATGAAGTTGGGCGTGAAAGCTACAATGAAACTAACATAATTTACCATGCTTTTGAAAATTCTTAGAACTATTTTGATTCTATGTGTAATTTTTTGATTATCTATTACATATAATAAATCTGTAGAAAAGTCGTGTCTGTAATTCTAATATATTCTTGAAAAAACAAGTCCAGGGGACTAAATAAAGGGTTCTGAACCCAAATCAGTGGTTTATAGAATTTTTGTCTGTCTGCCTGTCTGTCTGTCTGTGTATTCCGGATTCACGCAAAAACTACTCGACCGATTTACATGAAATTTTGTATATAGGTAGTTAGTAACCCGGGGCAACTTATAGGCTACTTTTTATCCGATTACGGAACTTCAAAAAAGAAGGTTAAGTATTTTCCTTCCTTTAGATGTTGATTTTCTATTATATCTTAGTTATAGATGGGATGACGAGTGTTTTTCAATTAAATACCATATTTATAAATAAAGTATAAAATATAGTTATAAAGATGGTAAAATAATTTGAAATTAGACGGATTTAGTTATGAAAACAGCGCCATCTATCATCAAATGGAAAAAGTAGTATATTTTGCCTTCAATTACTAATAAATTGAATAATATAAGTAACTTGCATTTATATGTTTAAATAATAAGATAATAAGATTTTTAAAATTATTTAATAACTGTAACGTTTAGTTTTTTTAGTATTTTTGTTATTTTATTTTAAAAGTGTAATAATTTCAATAGAAGATCAATCAAAAATATGAAAATTCATAAGGTTTTTATTTCAATTACTAATCTATATGTAAACTGATTAAAACTGGTCTGTCTGCAATTATTGCAAAATTTTCATTATCATTATAGTTTTATTAAAGAGATTTTTATATATGTCGTGGCTAGATCGTAGAATAGATTATATAAAGTAGTCTATCATTTCGTGAAATGGTGTGGTCATTTCATGATATTTAACACTGTTTGTTGACCATCTCATGATATAGCTTGACATTTAATCTAATAATAGCGCCATCTACTTACCACTAAACAAACTAAAATGCTATTGTACTAAATTGTATTAAACTATAATGCTACTAAATATACGATGTAAATAATTGAAAATTCGTTCGTGGCAACGTTAGATGTATAATTACTAGGTAGATGTGGTCAACAATCATGCAAAAACTTAGTTTCAGTTTTAATGAATTGTATAACAAATATGAGGGCCGTGTAGCTCTCGCCGTGAGATTTCATCATGGCACGGGAGCAATGCATGTACGAGGATGATTCTGTTATAGAATACTTTATGTGCTGACTTAACACGTGTCCGTTAAAGTGGTGAAGAATAACTTCGTGGGGAAACCTAGATATCTGAGTAGTTAAAATAGTCGTGGAGATGTGAAAACCGTTAACATGACATGTTAAAACATTGCAGCGTACTCTATTTGTCTGCCCACAAAACACTATAGGTAATGAGGAGTCCTGTGTACAGTAGTGAGACGTATATTAGCTGCTACTTTACTTTTTACCTTTAATGAGATTTATAATCACTTTGTAATTTAAGGTAGCTTTCATATTTTCGGACATATTAAGTTATTTGTGTCAGTCTTGGTTTCATAGCTCATATGAGTACATATTTGTAAATTAACAGGCTCTTTTTTTAAAGCAAATTTTACTTAAACTGCTTTAAACAAAGGTTCTTTTTATTATACTTGTCAAAGGCGGTAATCCAACTGATAAAAACTTAAATTTCATGGTACGTAAGCATTATTAAATATTTCAGCATATTATATATTAATTGCAATTTGAAGTATCGATTTACCACGTTCTCGGCGGTTAAGGAAAACCTGCATATCTGAGAAGTTTCCCAGTTGAGGTCATCCTGCATTGGAATCAGCACTTTTTTTGGCCAAAACTTTATGCGGCCATTGCCCAGTAGTAACGTGTATTTGAGCTGCAACTTTTTACTTTTCATGGGGCAATGAAATAAACATAGGCCTCCCGCATAAATTGTCAAGTAGCTGGATATTTGCAATAGTTGCCACGCTTGGTAGGCGTGTTGGCAACCGCAGCTATCATTATTTTGATCTTTTGTCAGGAAGATGATGCTGCCCTATGTCATGTCATGCCCTAGGTCATATGTCACTGCTTACGACGGTACGATATGAGGTGGCGGATTCTCTTTCACCGCCACAACAAGACGAACATTTTTCTACTCCCGTTCATAAGAGTAGTGCTTCCCAGGTTCACTGTGAATAAAATTTATAAGGAATAAAACTAATTTTAAGGATCTTATCGCGTTTAATTTTAATTTTTTTAATTCCCGATGTTTTGGGCACTTTACAGCACCCATGGTCACGGTAGGACTGAGGTTTTTGACGACCTGATGTCATAGTTAGAATGGAATAGAATAAGAATAGAATAGAATATAATAGTAATAGAATAAATGCAGGAGTATGCTTGGGTTTGAATTTTATTTTATTAACTATGGCGTCCTTATCAAATCTTACCACTCAGCCATCTTCCCTATTAAAATTAGCATGTATTTTTTTTTAATTTCAATAGCCCCGCGAATCATCATTGGTAGGAATCGGTGTTCTATTACAAGGATTTGTATATCAGATCCGATATAATGGTTGGGACGATACTAAACATGTTGACATACTTTAGACTTCCCGGAGCGACAGTGTTTCACATCAACTACCTATATGTTCTTTTACGCGGGTTTTTATGGAACTTTCACCCAAAGATGCGTAAAAAAACCTTACGTAAAAAAGTTAAAATTAGACGTGATAAAATCCGTAACATTAGTTTTATTCCATGTGTAGTATACTGTATACTAATTTTTGAAGTCAATTCGAACGTAAAAAAAATATTTACATCTAATTTATGGTGCCAATCAAAATATTAAATAGGACCAATGATAGATATGAATAAAATATCTCAAATAAACATTATGCCGTAAATTGATAGAAGACCGTGAAACTCATCATTATTTTGTTAAAACTAAATTAATTTTAATTATGAATGAATGTAAAGAGTAAAATGTAAATAATAGATAATAATAAATTTTGATTTCGATACAATTTACCTTTCTTATGGATACATCGGAAGACACGCCCGATATAAAAAATAGTATGTGTTTCTAGACATATATATTCACGTGTTCCTGTAGCATATTATACCTATCTATGCCAAATACCTAATCTACGTCTAATAGTCTTTTAGAATTAAAAAAAATCTTTGACAGACATAGAGACACAGACACCGAGGTGACTCTAAAAGTGATCGAATTTCGTTAATATTGCCACGCGAGCGAAGCCGCGGGTAAAAAGCTAGTCCCTAATAAATAACTATTTTACCTTAATTTGTATTTTCAATGCTGCGTATATTGCCCAGCATACTTCTGGTATTAAATGAAGAAATAGATGGTTTCGATACACGATAAAGGTGACTAAGGTTCCGAAACGACATACCCGAAGTCAAAAATATCTGTGTTATTTCGAGTTAATTTTGGCTGGTAAAGCATCACTCATGAATGTATCTTGACGATCAATAATAGAGCTTGTTATCAATGAAAGCAATTCGTCGAAATTCTTCGGCATTATTCTCAAAGCCAGTTTGAATTCCGCAGGATCTTCAAATCTCAAAAAATCTTCAAAAATTGATTTGACAGCAAAGCAGACCCTCCAGTTTCTTTTCTGTCGTCTATCCATTTTGGTGCCTGTTACTGACCGCTTTTTTTTGCATTTCTCTAAATTTGTCCATGAGTGTATATACATATAGATGAAGATAAGTAACGTCAGAAAAAGAAAACGCGGGAAAAATTTAAATTTCTGAACCAAACCGGACTTTAAATAATGTGGCCATTACAAAAGACAAAAGAATAACAATTCTCTGCTAAATTTAAACATCTTTTATTGAATAAACTAATTGCTTATTATCATTTCAATCTTGCGGATAACAACTCTAATTTCGTGACATGAAAACAAAAGTATAATATTTTTGTCCAAAAACAAAGCTGATGACACTCTACAAACTATTACTGAATCATACAATGACGATATAACGTAATGTTTACGTTGATAAGACAGTGTTTTTAATCGTCTTCAGAAGAAATTAAACTATGTTGATGTTATAACTGGTCATCGCGCCAACCAATCACTATAAAACTGCCCGAGAATCCCGGACACCGCATTTAACGTTGTGTTATCGTACGATATAGACCTACCTTTCTATTTTATTTCATTTTAAATTAATGAGTGAAGTGATGGCTCCAACAAATGCGAATACTTTGAATGGGAGCAAAGGATTTTCTCCTGCTAAGAAAACACTTCCTGAGGTTGATACAGAAGCAACTAATGGAAATGGAACTAACGGGTATGTTTATGGAAGTTCTTATCTTTACCATGCTTAATTTTTAGGTAGTTAAGTGTAAATAAAGATTGATATTTAAGAATTATTTAACTTTTGTAAAGATTGCATAAGTTAACAGTAGCTTTGAAGCTCAACTGAGGTTAATTGACAATAAATTGTGCATCCTTGAGTGTTACGTTCGTGATAATCATGTGAATGGGTCGCGAATAAAATAAGTGTACACAATATTCAGTTGTATTTTGTTTTTTGTTTTTTTAATTTTTTAAATATCATTGACTATATAATATATCTTCGGTGAATATTTTGTTTAATTTCCGCTTGTGTTATTATGGTTCGGTTTCAATTAAATCTACGAGACCACTTGCCCGCAGAATCTGTAAAGTTGTCAATCAACTTGCGTCAATGTAAGTATTAAAAAAGAGAAAAACAAAATGTAACAACCCAACAGGTTCGACGGACCAGGTTATCTTAAGTCTTAACCCAATATTGAATTCCTCAATGGACCATAATTTTTTTTTATTGATTTTCGATTAATTAATACCCATTTTAGGGTTGTAAGTGTCAGTTACTTGTACACAGAGGTTTTATACTGCTCGTTGAAATAATTTACTTTTGTACCTAGTGCATTATACGTTTTGATTGTCATTGCGAGTTTTTTTTGAAAGTTATATTTGTTAATATTTGACTTTTCAACCGACTTCAAAAAAGGAGGAGGCTCTCCGGAGGTTTTCTTATGTCTGTTACCTCAGAACTTTTTTCTAGGTGAACCGATTTTGATGATTCTTTTTTATTTGAAGGCTGGTGTTTCTCATGTGACCCCATATAAATTTGATCAAGATCTGACCAGTAGTTTTGGAGTTATCCTTAATAATGCGTACTTAATTGACTTCGACTACATTTATGAAAATAATTTTATTCTTTTACCTTCCGCGTTTTACCTTTAGTGCCTTTAGCTTCCGCTGCATACCAAAATCGCATAGGAAGAATAAACCTCTTATATAAATTACATACATGGTATCAATACACATGTTATTTTTAAGTCACAAAATTACGCTCGTAAGTCCAGTACATATGCTACAGCGTTATCTTGCAATAACCGGCCAAATTTGCAAAGAATGTTCAGAATAAGTAATATAGGCAAATGGTGAAGAAAAATTAATTAAAAAAAATCTCAAATATTCTGTCCTTTTTATCTTTTAAATTCAAAATGTGCAGTAATGTTTTATTTTAACTGATTTTACTACACACGCACACATTGTAAGGTTTGCTCGGTAGGCAAAAACTTTGTTGCCATTCCAATCACATTTAATTTGGGATAATTTCAAATAAAAGTAGAAGCCTTATTTAATAGAATTTTAAAAACTGAACTAACGGTATATCAACTTAAATTTTGCTATTTTTTAAAAATTTGGCTAATTTTTTGAAAAATAATTCTCAATGTTATATAATAAAAAATGTCTCTCAATGTTACTGGCATGTAAATATATATACTAGCTTTTTACCCGTGGCATCGCTCGCGTGGGCTATTTCACTGCTTCGAGTCCAAATTAGCAAAATTAGATCACTTGTAGATTCACCTCAGTGTCTGTGTCTCTATGTCTGTCTGCTACAGGAATTTTCTCAGAGACTATTTGAATTTGAAAGAACACTACGACATCCGCTCATCTCTTTTACCCTTATAACAAATAAAACTGTTAATAACCAATATAAAAATTAACTTCTAAATGAAGGAAAAATATAAACCTCCTTTTTTGTAGTTCCGTAATAGGATGAAAAGTTTATAAGTTGCCCCAGGTCACTAACTACCTAGTTTGCTTTTTCATAAAGATTATTCATTAGACATACTTTTCATAACTTATATATATTATATAGTCTGGATGTTAATTTTGTTAATTGGCCTATATAATTAATTAACTTAAAATAGGTCAGGTAAAATTTACTTAACTTTTACTAGTAATAATTATTATGAATGAAAAGGAAATAAAAAATAAGGTATTTCCTTTGGTTTCACACGTTTTTATTGCACGACTTATGTATATATATATATCACGTATTACGTAGGTAAGACGTGATATATATAATAAGGTGTTTAATTTAACCATTTCAACACGCCAAGTCATTCATAAGTACTTGTTGACAATGAAAAGAAGCCATAATGAAACATGCTACATAAAAACATTTCATAGTCTTACGACCCGTTCCCCAGTACAATAAGCAGCCCTGAGTCAGGTGAAGTTATAAAAGCTAAAAGGCTCACAGCACTTACATCACACATTATAGATCTCCGGTGTAGGAAGTGCATGAAAATATTATTTTTTCAAACATAATTTTAAGTCTTCGTAAGCTTTTTTTATAGGATAAGGGTAACAAACGAGCACACAGTCCACCTGATGGCAAGTGGTTGCTGTGGCCCATAGACATCTACATCTATCTTCGATTAAGAATCAAAATGCAGATGCGTTGTCACCCGTGAGGACTAAGATGGAATGCCTCGTTTCCAGTAAAAAGGGTCTCCAGTTCTCTACACTCACCATACGAAACACAGCAGCGTTAAGCTGCTATTTTTCGCTGGTATTCTGTGAGAGCGTGGTCCTTCCCCGGTCGAGCCGACCCATTCGTGCTACAACCATAATATAGCTGCAGCATGGCTCTACCACTTATAAAAGCTATCGAATAGTTTATATTAAAACGGTTTTTACATGTACTTCGGATATATTAAAAGGGATAGTAGCGCAAAACGAAACGTTCAATAGATATAATGATCTGTAATGATTGCAGTTATTATCGTAATTGCTACCTATATATTATTCTTACATCCTTTGCCTCCGAGTAGCAAAATTTAATTGAACATCAACATTGAAATGCCGTGCAGTTCAATGTTGTTCTTGTGTTTAATATAAATTCACATTTTATTATATTTATTCATTTCAGGTACTCATACGAAACTCTTCAAGAAACGGCAAACTTTCTTCTATCACGGACCTCTATCCGACCATGCATTGGCGTCATATGCGGTTCTGGGATGGGTTCGTATTGGAAAGAGGGTACTTATTGCTTTAAGCTTAATTAATAAGCAAAATCTTATATATGTACATACTTCGTATGCAGGAAGTCGATTAATGCAGGTGGCTCAGGACCGCGCTTTGGGGAATTGCTTGTAGAAGGTATATATTCAGCGGTGGACTTGTGATGGGCGATAATACTGATGATGATGATGATATATGTACGTCTTACTGATAATCAAATGGGACTTTATATGGAACAGCCCGCCACGCTACTCCCGTACGTGTTAGAGGGCTTCATATGTCCTTGAATATTTTAATTCTTAGCGATGCAAGTTTCCTTCCAACAGCTTAGCACTGGAAAGTTAGCACTAAAAATCTTAGTGCTGTCGGCTGCACGGCAATGATCAAACTCAGGCCGCTCACGAACTGTAATTTAGGTGGGGCGCTTAGCCTATCAAATTTGGTTTCCGGTAATATATAATTTATGCAATTATGAAACATTGTCTTGGCAAAACAAATTATTGTGTGAATATGGTCTCGTGAAGTTAAACGATCACTAATCACCAACGATTTTATAGTATTTGCAGATGTAAAAAGTGTACATTTTATGAATTCTACTTTATCATCATTATGAGTCATAAAATTATCAGAATTATGAAAATTAATTTATTATATTTATGTATATACTTATATATACTCTATAGAGTTAAGTTTAGTATAATTATGTTAAATATACACACATACACCACTAAAATATTAATTTGATATCTTTCTGGGGCAATCGGGTAAAATTTCTGTGGTGTAGAGTTTACGTAGTGGGCTAACTATTATCTAAACTGTGGTAACGTTAAGAAATGAACTTGGGTTACGCGCGTATAATGAAATTTAAAGCCCGGGCTTATAAGTAACACTCGGCTTTTTTATATTACACTTAAAGTTTTTATTTATTAAACGGAATTTCAAAATGGAATACTAATTATATTAATATCACATTGCGGACAGTAAGCGGGTGTAGGATGTCCGTCTACTAGACGGAATGACGAACTGGTAAGGCATGGCGATGGATTCGGATAGATCAGGAGCGAGTTGTGTGACATCACTAACGTCAGTAGGTTTTACGTGGCAGAGCCACGCTCCAGCACAATTGGGTCGGTTCGACAGGAGAAAGACCTATTTCAAAGATAATGAGGCATAGACTCTTAATTTTCTCCTTAGTGACAACATATCTGCATTTTGATTTGATGTAGGTAGTAGCATCCACTTACCATTTAATGAACTGTGTGATCACTCGTAACCCTTACTCACAGATTACCCCCTAAGGGGTAATCTATGCCCTTACTTTTGTAAAAAGGGGCATATTTGTGGCATTCCTTAGGGCCTATCATCAGCATTGGACTTGTAAAGGGCTGTAATGATGATGACGATAATATTTTGCACATGAAAATTTATTACTATCAAAGTTTTAACATTTGACGTTTTTAAGGTATTTTTTTAATATAATTTAATAATGTTTGAAATATTGAATTTTTACAAAAGTGATTTCTATGTACTTTAGTACCCAAGATTATAAGTTTTAATGACGTCGGACAACCTAATGAAACATACAGGTAGTTCATTGGGCAACGTAGCTAAAGACCATGTTTTGTGGTCTATGGGGGAGACCTATGTTCAAGTATCAACGTAGGTATAATCGTATTATATTAATAATTACTTAATTTTACACAGGTTCTTTGGCAGAAAATATAGATGACCCAGTATGTATTCCATATGAAGAGATACCAAACTTCCCTATAAGCACGGTGGAAGGACACCATGGAAGATTGGTGTTTGGTTGGCTAAATGGAATTCCGGTAGTAGCAATGCAAGGACGCTTCCATTACTACGAGGGCTATCCTTTATGGAAAGTAAGATACAAATTGCTTATAATAGGAATCATTTAAGAAATAACTTTAATAACTATAGAGATGTCACTTAATACTTTTGTATTTAATATTATATGATTGTAGAATCATATGTTCCTGATAAGATTCCTGAGCCTGACAAAACAACTTCCTTTGCATTAGATAAATTAAAATCGAATAATAGCTAATATTATACAAATTTAAAATGGGGTTCATGGTTATCACCTGTGGTGTTAAGTAAATTTCTGTAATCCATAATAAGTGTTTGATTACTGACGTTGTGATTATATACTCTTTGACTGTGAGCAGCGGCAGCGGTAGGTAATCAATCTAAAATTGCCTTATGCTGTAGCTATACTTGTTCTAGCCTGGGATTTCATCATTGTAATCGACTTTTTATATTACCACATTAACACATCAACTAATTTTTATTTTCCGTAAAGAATAATAAAAATAAGGAGGCAATAATAACATGCTACGTTTGCTTTTATGTTGTTCGCGAACACTGCTGCCTGTTTATACAATTTATTTGTGGTAGGTACTTGCGTCTATACTGCCACCATACGACGGAAAACATACTTATATTGATAAATTTCTGATTAAAAATTTGTAAGATGCCGCAATTGAATAAATATTTTAACGTTAGAGTGAATGATACTGCTGAATGAGTTCTGGACCGATAACAAGGGGAATACTTTGTAGGAATTCGTTTGTTGTGATAATATTGCTAACGTTTACCCTTGGAAATATCTAGAATGGATGATGCAAGTCGTAGTCGACCCCCAGCAGGAAGGTTATCTACTGTCGCGGGCATCACAATAAGAGGGTAAATGCCGCATTATGATACGACGTTCGTAACTACGTAGTAGTGATAGTATGGCTCATTGTTTAACAACATTCATACGCTAAAGCCCTTCTTAATGCAAGTGCTTGAATATAATTTGACTTAAGTAATTCTGGATCAATTACATTTTAACATTTTGCATAAAGTATTAAACGTAAATAATAATAAGTATATAAACAGGTCAGTCTGCTAAACTAGCAATATGATATTGTTTCGTGAATAACCAGAGGTGGCGGTGGAAAAGATTTATAACCAAATAGACTGTAAATTTAATCTAGAGTGAAAGTAAAACTCTACTAAATAATTTTTTTAAACTAAAATACGTGTTACGTCGCCTGCGATTTGAAACCAAAACCGTTGACTAAGTAAGCAAGAATGCATCCGCTGCATTAAATTACTAAACTATTCAGTAATAAACACTTACTAAACACTTTAATAATAAAATAATTAAAAGTTTAATAATTATTAATTATATTTAATTCCTACTGAATAATACCGCATTAAGTCCGCTGCTGAACATAGGCCTCCCCCAAGAAATGCCACAAAACACAGTGAATGAGAAGATGTGTCGTAGGTAATCCCCCGACCGCTACCCAGCCGAGTTGAATCCGTCGATTGACCCTCCGGTCGAAATTGGACTTACCAAGTCGGACTATTTGTCCCAGGTAAACATACTCGTCAACAACTTCGAGCTCAGTGCTCCCAACAACTACCGGCATAGGTGTGACATGGACGTTACACACTTACACATGACTTTCGTTTGGTCCATAGTCATCTTAAGACCTATCCGTTGGGTAGGTCTACTATTGAGATCATTGAGCATAGTGCTTAGGTCCTCCAGCGATTCTGCCATAAGACCTATATCGTCGGCAAATCGAAGGTGAGTGATGTACTCGCCATTGATGTTAATACCGTATCCTTCCCAGTTCAGTAGCTTGAAAACTCTTCCAATGCAGCGGTGAAGAGTTTCGTGGTGTAAGACAGGGAGTCACCCTGTCTTACACCTCTCTGCAGTTGGATAGCTTTCGTACTCTGGTTCTGTACTCGGATAGCCATCGTAGCCCTACTGTAGAAATACTTCAACACTTCGATATACCGACAGTCAACTTGGTATAGCTGAAGGGGCTGTGGCACCGTCCAAATTTCGACGGAATTAAAGGCGTTCTCATAGTCTACATAGGCAAGGCAAAGTGGCAGTTTGTATTCTTCGGTCTTCTGTACAATTTGCCGAAGGTCGTCTATGGTACTAAAACCTTGTCGGAAATTAGCTTGTTCGGAAGGCTGGAGGTCACCGAGTCTGCTTGCAAGACATTTCGTAATGACTCTCGAAAACAGCACAGTAATTCAACAGTAATTCTTCAAGAGAGCGTTGTCGCCTTTCTCGAAGAACAAGACCCCCCCAATACTGCTCCACGCCTCCGAATTAATGCCACCATGGAGTACTAAAGAGTTCCTAAAGGACTTCAAGTACTGGTTTTCCACCCGCTACAGAAGCTCAGCTGAAACTCCACCCTCACCCGCGGCCTTGCTATTTTTAAGGTGATGGAGAGCCATTGTAATCTCGTTCAGACTAACGTCCGGGATACCATATTTTATACGTGGTAGAGCCATGCTGCAGCTATATTAATAGTATAGTTGTAGCACGAATGGGTCGGCTCGACCGGGGAAGGACCACGCTCTCAAAGAATACCAGCGTAAAATAGCAACTTAAAGCTGCTGTGTTTCGTATGGTGAGTGTAGAGAACCGGAGACCCTTTTTACTGGAAATGAGGCATTCCATCTTAGTCCTCACTGGTGACAACGCATCTGCATTTCGATTCGCAAACGTGGATAGATGTAGATGTCTATGGGCCACAGTAACCACTTACCATCGGGTGGACTATGTGCTCATTTGTCACCTTTATACTATAAAAAAAAACCATCGGAATTGTGTCGGGTAAGACTTGCTCTTGGATCGTAACTCACACTTCCGTGTGGCTCCAACAATGACGTGTACAGCAGCCCGTAGAATCTCTCAATCTCAATGTCTGCAGCTTTGACAGTTGACTCATTCTGGCAAACAGATCTGTGGCAAAGACTTTGAAGCCTTCGTTCCGCTCGATCGCTTCTTCAATACGAGCCTTATTGCGTAAGTCCCGTCGCATGCATTTGGAGATTTGTCTGTTCAGTTGCCTGCATGCTGTCAAATCTGCTGAAGACTGCAGCTTCATTTCCCGTCTAACATCCATGAGATTAAGAGTGTGATTGGAGAGTTTTTGGGTTCCTCTGTTTGCAGAACTTAGATCCTACCGTATGGACAGTTTCCACTAGCTTGTCATTCATTTCGTCCACTGTTATTGTAGTCTTCTAGGCAGTGAAAACGATTTTGTAACTCGAGCTTCATCTCAATTAGGAGCAAATAGATTGGATTAACGATTTTGTAACTCGAGCTTCAGTTCAATTAGGTTTTCGGGGCTTTGGATTAGAACACGAGGGGGACGGAGCGTTGACTTCATTAGACGTGACCTCTCCAACTTAACGTCTAAGTTCAGTGTGCCTCTCACCATTCGGTGGTTTTATACACAAACATCAGACACAATGCATAAAATAAGAATAGGTTCAATAACTGAGTAATAAAAAATATACTTATAAATATTTATTTTGCATGTCTATGATTTTTTTTCACTGTAGTACATAATATTATGTTCTTCTACGTACGCCCGTAAGTGCCTACATTAAACTGCAATTATTTTTCTGCTATAGATTGGGAAGATTTTGTGACAATTAGCAGCATAAGTAATCCAAAAAAGCAGCATCTAAAGGTTAATATGGTTGACAACCTGTTTGCTAAATTTGGCGATTACGATAGTCAATTTATGACTCAACTTGAAGCCGCACACTTAATTGCTACAATTTATTCAGGATGATGATGATGAATATTTGACTAAAATCAGTCGCTACACAACTATTTTATTTCTTTGCTTAGGGAAATACTTAAACTTTTTTTTTATAGGATAAGGGTGACAAACGAGCACACAGTCCACCTGATGGTAAGTGGTTGCTGCGGCCCATAGACATCTACATCTATCCTCTGTTACAAATCAAAATGTAGATGCGTTGTCACCCGTGAGGACTAAGATGGCTTGCCTCATTTCCAGTATAAAAGGCCTCCGGCCACCTGCACTCACCAAGCGAAACGCAGAGGTAAACCTCTACTTCACGCTGGTTTTCTGTGAGGTCGTGGTACTACCCCGGTTCGAGCCGGCCCATCCGTGCGCCAGCAAAAGCTGCCGCGTGGCTCTACCACTGTTAAAAAACTCAAGAATATACGAGTTTGAATTTAAAATGAATTCACCCAGTTATTATAAAAAGGTTTTAACGTTATTACAATCCCCATTTACGTAGATATGGCAGTTCAGTTTCCATTTATACTCCTAAATATTTGTTTTCACATTATTTATATAAATGTGACGGTCCTAACAAATTTCTTATATTATTTACAGTGCTGCCTACCTGTGCGAGTTATGAAACTCATAGGAGTAAAGACACTTATTGCGACCAACGCGGCCGGAGGATTAAATCCTAATTATAAAATTGGTGACATAATGATTGTAAAAGATCACATAAACATGATGGGTTTCGCCGGAAACAATCCCTTACACGGTCCAAATGATGAGAGATTCGGCCCTCGCTTCCCACCCATGAACAAAGCATACAACCATAAATACAGGAGTATTGCCAAAGAGGTAAGCAGTAAATAATGTTAGTCATTGATTTTATTTCCGCGGATAGCAGACGGGGTAGAAAGTATGTTGAGTGGAATAAAGAATAAATAAATATATAATAAAATAGCTATAGAAAAAACTCAAAATTTATTTTTAAATACAACGTCCTGGACTCAAGTACGTTACCTGTAAAATTTGGAGGTATCGGTGTAAAAAATCTTACAAGCGTTGTATTACCCGCTTTCTTGGCTTCCGTACATAGTGTCGGAGACTTACATATTATGTAATATCATTTTAAATAATAAAGTAGCCCTGAGCTTTACTGGGGAGGCGAGGCAGATGTGGGAAACGCTCTATTCCAGCGAAAATGTTCCACTGGAAGTTAAGAAACAAAGACAATGAGATATTCCGTTGGTACGGTATGCAGATATATATTTGAATGATATGTAAATAAATTATTTGAAGAAATACGGAATATATTTCTTTATTTTTGGAATTATTTACTAGTACCACATGAGTAAAGAAACTAGTACGTAAAGTATAGGTATCTGATTTACGGATACCTATACTTAAAATAAAACGAATAATGCCATGTATTCAATCTCAAATTCATTAACATAGGTTATCTAAGGTTGTTGAGCGATTGAGATCATGTGGGGGAGCATATAACAACATTCATATGGATTTTAAAATAGTATGTAAATATCAATTGCGTCACACGCTGTTAAATTTATAGCACATACGCTTCTATATGTATTAGTAAAATTTATTGATTTACGAGCTCAGAGGCATTCAATCTTAGTTTTTAACCGACTTCAAAAAGGAGAAGTTTCTCAATTCGAGTGTATGTTTTTTTGTATATGTTACGCGATATCTTCGGATACTGTGAACCAATTTTGATGATTCTTTTTTTACTAAATAGGTTATACTTCAAGGGTATAAATTTAGAGAAAAAATTTTACCCCCAATGTTAGCAAATAAATAACTTCATTGTACTACAACCATAATATAGCTGTAGCGTGGCTCTACCACGTGTATTAGTAGGAATTTACGAATTGCTGTTCCTTCTTTACATAATACAATGTATTACACTGTACCTAGTACCTACCATTATGTTGTGTGCTTTGACTGCGTCTCTGCTAACCACAATTCCGATTCCTGCTCGGAAAGAGTATTTGTATATTCCACAAACATTGCAATTGTTATGGGTATAAGTCTATGTGCAATTTATGGTAGGAAAACTCTTTCACGATACTGGGGAAATGTACAACAGTATGTGTGGTGTATGAGTAAGGTTTTTTCTTTATTAGGCTAGTGTTGGAATTAAAAAAAGTAAGCCTTGATTAAAGATAGCATTGCGCACATTGTTCTATAAACACCATCACTATCTTTTTAGTTCTTCAGCAGCAGCTTTATTAGTTCTGCAGCATATGCTGTAAAAAAGATTAGATACCTTACACGTGTTGAATCAGCTAGATTAGTTTATTTTAGTTATTTCCGCAGCATAATGTCATATGGAATCTTGCTATGGGGTAATGCGACTGACAATGAAACTATCTTTGTTATGCAAAAGAGTGCTATAAGAGCAATTTATAACCTAGGTTCGAAGGAATCCCTTATAGAAAAATTTAAAGAAATAAATATATTAACTTTGGCCTCTCAATATATTCACGAGCATTTAATGTATGTACCCAAAAAGCCGCATGTTCGTTTGCCCCCTCTCCTATTAAAAAAAAATAGTTTAATTAAAAATAGTGATGTACATTCTGTAAATACTAGGAACAAGTACAAGTTAGTTATAAGTACCAGTTATTCGACTCCAAAGAGTCAGTAACTCCTTCATGGGGCAATGTATACGCTTTTACAAACAAAGTCCCAGAAAATATGCAGACCTTTTTTATCAAAAGGTTTAAATTATTTATTAAGCAAAAATTGTCTAGTAAGGGTTATTATACTACTAAAGAGCACTTGACTGATAAACTCTGGGAATGAGGTGATCGTTACCATGCTGTTTCTAATGTTTTCATAACAATTGTATAAAATAATATATTTTAAATTGTACTTTTTTTTTAAGTCCCGCTGGGTTGCTTTCTGGTTCTTTCCAGGACAGAGGTTTTTTTGCGAACCAGTGGTAAAAGTAAAAAATTACTTTCAATAAGTATTATGTATTGTAATCTATATTAAATAAAAATGATTCTATTCTATTCTATTCTACCACTAATAATAGTAAACGCCTCCATGATACAGGCGAAATTTCTAGCGAAACGTTTTTTAAGCACTTTTTTTTTATTGGGCTAGTCTTAGAATTTTAAGAAATAAAAAATAGCTAACATTGAAGATAATGGCATCGTCTGCGTTTTTCTTTATAGCGCTCGTTTGCAATGAATATTCATTTTTTATTAAGTGAATATTTACCTAACAGTAGCAAAAATCTTAACCGGAAATTTATAGATAATTGGAGATTGTGCTTGGAGCTCTGCTTAACTTTATATTAGAATTCTTATTTTTAATTACTGAAAATAATAATAAATTGTCAACAGTTGGCGAAAGAGTTAAACATTGAAAATATGGTAAGAGAGGGAGTCTATACGTGCCTCGGCGGACCAAACTTTGAAACTGTTGCGGAATTGAACATGTTGAAGATGGTTGGAGTCGACGCAGTAGGCATGTCTACCGTTCACGAGGTATGTTTTTATTATTCATTCGTTCAATGCGACTTGTCAAAAGCTTATTGCTAAACACAGGTTTCCCTTCATCATAATTACAGCCCATCACAAATCTACTACTGAATAGGTCTCCCCCGAGGAAGATTACCTTACATGCAGTATATTTACCATAGTTGCCACGTTTGGTAGGCGTGTTGGCAACTATAGTTTTTATATTATTTTGAGCTATTAATAGGAAAATACTGCTGCTACTGCCATCTCCTGTTTCAGTTTCGCCCTGTCACTTCTTAGGGTGCCCGTGGGACGATATGGGCTAGTCTAAGAGGCTTGTTGATTTTGTAACGCCGGCACTACACGGCACTTTTTAGTTACAATACATTGCAATTAACATAAAACCTCTGAAAAATACTCAAACACCATTCTTAAAAAAATAATTTATTTCATTAAACGAAATAGCGGCTGATTATTAATTTCTCATTTAGAAGTTGTTGTTCCAATATTTATAAGTAAATATTACATTATGTTATCATATCTCCACATTTTTAGTTCCACTGTAGAAAAATTAGATTTAGATCGTTGTAAACTATCACATGTCACTTTTTAACATATGCGACGAATAAAGAGAAGCTTTCAAATTATCATTATCTACTTTAGTTTCCAGTCAATCGCAGTACCCCGTTGTGGAGGTCGAAATTTCCAGAAATGCTTCCTATAGCTGGAATATAAAGAAGTCTATATAAAAAAAAAGATAAATAGAGTTTAAACAATCCATTACTAGGTAGTTAATGCTTAAGTTAATATGAAATGTAGCTTTATTTTTTTTTATGAAACTGAAGTAGCAAACGAGTTTATAGTCCACCTGATGCTAAGTGGGTACATTATGCAACCAATTTTAAAAATTTGCAACCAACTTTAAAAAAAGAAGTCTACAGATGTGTTGTCACTTCTGAGGACTAAATGGAATACTTCTGAGCGGAAAAAAGCAGTGCAAGCACTGTTATTTGACGGCTGAAATAGTGAAGAAGGTGGTACTTACCCAGATTGTCTCCTAGGCAAGCAGTAAAAGAGTCCTACCACTTTGTTTAATTATGGTTTATTTTACAGGTAATCATAGCAAGACATTGCGATATGAAAGTATTCGCACTATCATTAATTACAAACGAATGTGTGACGAGCTACGACAAAGACGATGAAGCTAATCACGAAGAGGTTTTGGATGTAGGAAGAATGAGGCAAGATATCCTCCGAAAATACGTTTCGAAACTAGTAGCTAAATTTGCAGAAATAGAAAATTATCCTTGAAACGAAAAAAATAAAATTTATAAGAACAAGCAATTCAACCACGCTGCGGGCAAGGTTCGAAAAGAGCAGTTTCACTATACTATTGTAATGTAGGCTATTTTCGAATCAGTAAAGCCGTGATTTTAATATGTAATAAAAAATATAGAATCCTCCTTAGGTAGATTTAATGAGCGAAAAATCTTAGGTTAGTATATTTGTAGTGAAGCAGGCAAGACATTTTCTGTGAGCATATCGTAGTCTCATATACATAGATTAATTTTTTCATTCGTACCTAGTTAGGTATTATTAATAAATACTTAGATATTTATTTTAAATTACGTATGATGTTAGATAATTTAGATATTTAATGTTATTATTTACATTATTTATGTCTGTTTTTATATAGAAGACATCGTCGGTGTGTTGACATGACTTTAAAAAATTATTGTAAATATTTTTTACAACATAGGTTACAATGACTTGTGACATTTTTATTCGACGTTTAATACATAAATATATATAAAAATAAGTTTTTTTTTTATGTAGGTATCCTTTTATTTTATACTTGCGATAATGCCCATTGACTTCTTAAAACTCAAACGACGTTCAATTAATTTTGACCATGTAAATAATACTCTATCGACATTAGTATATTGGATTAACGCCAACAATTTGCTCTTAAACGGCAATAAGACAAAATGTATTAAATTTACAATACCTAATGTAAAACATTCTAATACAAATGTGCTCTTATTTGGGGCGTTGAGTCTTGTGGATACCACTGTTTTTCTTGGTATTATTATTGACGCGAAGCTTCAATGGGGCTCCCGTAAGTATATCTAAATTAGCAAGCAGACTTAGTTCTGCAGCATATTCTGCAAGAAAGATTAGAAGTCTCATCAATGTTGAGACAGCTAAATTAGTTTATTCTAGTTACTTTCATGGCGTGATGTCTTTATGAAATATTGCTATGGGGTAATGCGACTGACATCGAAGCTATATTTGTTTTGCACAAGAGAGCCGTACGGGCGATTTATAACTTAAATAGTAATGAGTCCCTTAGAGAAAAATTTAAAAGAAATAAACATATTAACTTTGACATCGCAATATATTTATGAAAATGTAATGTATGTACATAAAAACGTAAATATCTGGGATAAGAATAAAGACATTTATACACATTTAAACACTAGGAACAAACATAAGCTTGTTATATCAGTTACTGGCTCCACAGAATTAGTAATTCATTTATGGGGCAATGTATACGCTTTTACAATAAAATCCCAGAAAATGTTCAAAATTTGTCAATAAATAAGTTTTAAAAGTGAAGAAAAAACCCTGGGAATGAGGTGATCGCCACCATGCTGGTTCTATTAAAACTCATTTAAAATTTGTACAAACAAACAAAATTATTGTAAAGTGAAATATGTTTAAAAAAAAGTCCCATTGGGTTTCTTGCTTTTATTCCCAGAACAGAGGTATTTTCGGAGCCAGTGGTAAATAAAAGAAATGACTTTCAAAAGTATTATGTAATAATCGATATTGAATAAAAATATTCTACTCTATTCTATTCTATTCTACTATATGGGAGCACATGAGAAGCACCAGTTTTGAAATAAAAAAAACTCATCAAAGTTCGTTCACCTAAAAAAAGTTCTGAGGTAATACACATAATAAAAATGCAGTCGAATTGAGTACATCCTCCCTTTTTGAATTTCGTTTAAAAATACTATTCTGTCAAGAAAGTACCGGGAAAAAATCAATAATACACAAAATGTTATTTATTCATCCAAGTATATTTATCACCTTCAAAGTATGCTCCTTTAGAAAAGATTCACTTTCTCCAACGAATAATCCAATCATCAAAACATTTTTAAACACTTTTTCCGGAATTGAGTTCAGTTCTCGCTGCGAATTCTCCTTTACGTCTTCTACCGAATGAAAACGGGTGCCACGAAGTGGGAATTTGAGTTTAGGAAAAAGAAAGAATTCAACTGGAGCCATATCTGGTGAATAAGGTGGTTGCTCGATGATATTTGTTGAGTTTTTGGTCAACAATTCGTTCGCAATGATGGTCTTGTGCGAAGGCGCATTATCGTGGTGCAAAATCCAAGAATTTTCTTCCCACAAATCTGGCCTTTTTCGTCTAATTTGCTCTCTTAAACGCCACATAACGTTCAAATAATATTCTTTATTTACCGTTTGACCTCTCGGGAAGAATTCCGAGTTCACAATACCGCGATAGTCAAAAAAAAACAGTCAACATGACTGACTTTGAACCAACTTTGGCGTGGTTTTACCGATTTTGGTTCAGTTGGATGGCGCCACTTCGATGCTTGTTGACTAGTTTGCATGTCAAACTCGTAAACCCACGTCTCGCTACCAGTGAAAATGCGTTTCATGAATGTTGGGTCGGAATTGACTCGTTCTAGCATGTCCTCAGCTACTCTTATGCGATTGAGTTTTTGGACAAAATTCAGGTCTTTTGGGACTAGCCGAGCGGCAACATGTTTTATACCTAAGTGATTATTTAAAATAGTAATGGATCGACTCGTGAGACACAGAAAGTTCGGCGGCTATCTCTCTCAAACATGAATGAGGATTTTCAGTCACTATTTCCTTCACTTTTGCGTATGTTAACTTCAGTTGCGACGTTGATGGCCTACCAGAGAATGGCAAATCTTCCATCACATCTCGACCGCTTTTGAATCCTTTGTACCACTCATAAGCACGACGTGTTTTTGATAAAGTCGATTCACCGTAAGCCTTCTGTAACATTTTCAGTGACTCCGAATACGAAATTCCATTGGCGATGCAAAATTTAAGACAAAACCTTTGTTCGATGTTTTTATCCATTGTGAAATTTGCAATACACGCTAGATATTATGATATAACTAAAAACGGCACTGTATTTAATCTAAATAACAGACTTAACTCAAACTCGCGCCAAAATGGAAAACAGTTGTGCCAATGTAACAACAACAAAAAAAAATTTGGAACCATAAACAAATCATCCATTCACGTTACCTTTTTGACTGAATGTATACTACTACTGCCATCTAAGAATGGCTTAAGACAAATACCACTACCGCAAGTCATCCCGAAGATGTCGTAAGAGACGACGGACTATACCCGAAACTAAAGTTGGGCAGCAGCATTTTCCTGATAACAATATAATCTAATTAAAAAGCTACGATTACCAACTCGCCTGCCAAACGTGACAGCTATGATAAATGAGACCTATGAAGCAATCTATGGGGAAGTCTATGTTCGGCAGTGAGCCTTTCATATGTTTTAATGAATGAATTAAAATATGCCAATCGAAATATTTTTATCAACATTTTTTTTTTTTTTTTTTATAGAATAGGGGGCAAACGAGCATGCGGCTCACCTGATGGTAAGTGACTACCGCCGCCCATGAACAACCGCAACACCAGGGGGATTGCAGATGCGTTGCCGGCCTTTTAGAAAGGTGTAAGCTCTTTTCTTGAAGGTTCCTAAGTCGTATCGGTTCGGAAAATTCGCTGGTGGTAATTGATTCCACAAAGAAGTTGTGCGAGGGAGAAAACTTCTTCTAAATCGCACAGTGGTGGACCGCCAATCATCCAGATGGTACGGATGGTAACGCGAGTTTTGTCGCGACGTGCGATGGTGAAATTGAGCGGCTGGAATTAGTCCGAACAATTCCTCAGAGCACTCCCCGTGATAGATGCGATAAAATACGCAAAGAGATGCAACATCTCTACGCAGTGCCAGTGTATCGAGCCGATCGGAAAGAACTCGGTCGTCGACGATTCGAATCGCTCTGCGCTGGATGCGGTCAAGTGGAAGGAGCTGGCACTGGGGTGCCCCGGCCCAGAGATGAGAACAGTATTCCATGTGGGGCCGAACTTGAGCTTTGTAAAGTTGCAAGCGATGTGCCGGCATGAAATACTGTCTCGCTCTGCTGAGCACGCCAAGCTTTTTAGAGGCCAATTTGGCCTTCCCTTCCAAGTGACCACGAAACTGCATGCTATTCGATATGTCGACGCCAAGGATTCCGATACTGGCTGAGGCAGCAAGGGGAGTGCCTTGAAACTGAGGAGATACGACAAAGGGGTTCTTTTTAGCGGTAAACGCGCAAACTTGTGTCTTCTGGGGATTGAACTGGACTAGATTTAGTCGGCCCCAATCCGAGACTTTGTTAAGCAAAGACTCGACTTCAGACACAAGTTTGTCCCGGTACTCGGCGACGTTTTCCCGAGAAATATTGGCACGGCCGGTATATAAGGCATCCCCAGTGCTGTCGTCTGCATAGCAATGAATGCTACCAGTTAGCAACATATCATTGATATGCAGGAGGAACAGCGTTGGTGATAGCACGCAGCCTTGTGGAACACCAGCGTTGATAGGCTTGTAATCAGAGCATGCACCGTCTACTACGACCTTGATGCTCCGATCAGCAAGGAAACTGGTGATCCATTTGCACAATTTCTCGGGAAGCCCATAGGAAGGAAGCTTCGAAAGAAGCGCCTTGTGCCAGACCCGATCGAAGGCCTTCGCTATGTCCAAACTAACGGCCAATGCCTCCCCCTTGGACTCTACTGCCTCCGCCCATCTATGAGTTAAGTAAACTAGAAGATCACCTGCTGATCGACCCCGACGAAAACCGTACTGACGGTCACTGATCAGCTGGTGATCCTCAAGGTACCTCATGAGCTGGCAGTTTATAATGGATTCCATTATTTTGGAGAACAAGGAGGTGATGGCGATAGGCCTGTAGTTGGACGGGTCTGAGCGGTCGCCTTTTTTAGGGATCGGGTGGACCAAAGCTGTCTTCCATGAATTCGGGACTACGCCTTGGGAGTAGGAGTACCGGAAAAGACGCGTTAAAACCGGTGCCAACTCTGGAGCACACGTCTTCAGCACAATGGGAGGGACTCCATCGGGCCCACTCGACTTACTGACGTCCAGGGAGAAGAGTGCTTTGCGAACCGAGCGCTGTGTAAATCGCACATCCGGCATGGAGCACTCACATCGCGGGATGGTCGGCGGTGTGTTCCCCCCGTCATCTAGAGTCGAGTTAGACGCAAAAAGAGAGCACAACAGATCGGCTTTCTCTTTTGCGGCATGGGCCAGTGAGTCGTCCTCTCTGTGCAGAGATGGGAGGGATGGCTGACAGAAGTTCCCTTGGACAGCCTTGGCGAGAGACCAGAATGCACGGGTTCCCGAAGGAAGGCGAACTAGCTTCTCGCCAATTCTGCCGATGTGCTCAGACCTTGCCTTGGCAATGACGCTTTTGAAGGACCTGGAGGCGGAATTATACTTCTTTTTAAGTGCGCTGGTGTTTAAATCCCGAGACGTTGATGCGTCAGCCCAGGCCCGGTAGCACTCCTGCTTATAGCGTGATGCTATTTTACAGGAGCGATCAAACCATGGCTGGGATCTGCCTCCGATGGGCACCACAGAGGATGGAATAAAAAGTTCCATACCCTGAAGCACCACATCAGCAACAGAATCGGCAACAACGCTGGGATCTTCCGGCGAGAAGCAAACCCGCCCCCAAGGGTAGGATGCAAAAAAAGACCGCATCCCATCCCAATCAGCTGACCTATAGTGCCAAACACGGCGGCAAGCTGCAGATCGCAACTGCGATTGGAGCGTGAGTGGCACCGTGCTCCGGATCAGACAATGGTCCGAAGAGCCCAGAGGGGCATCGACGGAGACCTGATATCCGTCCGGATGAGAGGTCAGCAGAAGGTCCAACAGGGAAGGTACATGGTCTTCCACATCTGGGATCCGCGTAGGCGAAGTAACCAGTTGTGTTAGACCATATGCCAAAGCAAAGTCGTAGACAGATCTACCCGCATGATCGGTTAAACGAGAACCAAGCCATTCAGCGTGGTGGGCGTTGAAATCACCGAGTATCACGATCTCTGCGGATGGGACCTGTTGTAGCACGGAGTCTGCAGCCATTTGGACGTGGTCGATGAGTCGGTCTGTGTCGGCATTACCGCTATGGGACCTATAGAGGCACCCGTAGACGCGGGGATGGTCGTCGCTGTCTACGCGCAGCCATAGGATGGACAGGTCCGTACCTTCAAGGCTGCCGAGGCGTCGAAAACAGATGTCCTCTCTGACGTATACGCAAACTCCAGCCCGGGGCACAAAGGAGTGTTCCAATTTGTATCCCGGGTAGGAGAGATATGAAGTATCAGCCGGAGAGGACACCTGAGTCTCGGTTAAAAAGAGCAAGGCTGGCTTCGCCGTCTCTAGATGGTAATGGACAGCGTTAAGGTTGGAATGAATTCCCCTGATGTTGCAAAAATTCACGGATAGCGTGACAGGGGTCGCCTTGGTTGTATTGCTCCGCTTGCCCCGAGCAGCATTAGTCATGAGCGGAATTTTGCCCCCCCCAGAATACGCGGGGCAGCCTGAGCACCCACGCTCAAGAGTGAAGTAGTTTGTTCGTGGATGCTCAGCGAGGGATTCTCCAGGGGTGCTGGTACCCTCCTGGGGTAGTCTTGTATTTAATTCCACTACCATGTTGATGGGGGGGGGGGGGGGGGGAATTGGGCCTCCGGCCACCTGCACTCACCAAGCGCAACGCAGAGGTAAACCTCTACTTCACGCTGGTATTCTGTGAGGTCGTGGTACCACCCCGGTTCGAGCTGGCCCATCCGTGCGACAGCAAAAGCTACCGCTTGGCTCTACCACTGTTAAAATGTAATATGGACAGAATGATGTCGGTGGATATCCAAAACGCCATATCGTCCCGTGGGTGTCGTGATATGCGATAGAGGAAAACAAACTTGGAGATTGGCAGCAGCGTCTGCATAATAACAACTAGAAAATTAAAAACTGCGGTTGTAAGCCCGCCCGCCGAGCGTGGCAACTGCGGCAAATATCCCTTTTATGAGACAATCTACGGGGAGGACTATGTTCAGCAGTGGACTTTGACATGTTGTAATGGTATGAAATGTCTAAAACAAATTATCTGTGGAAGAGGCCTATTTTCAGCAGTGGACTTTGGATGAGAACATAAACATAAACACTCACGTCTGTCACCCAGAGGGGCAGACAGAGACTATGGACTTCCATTTGGTACAATCTTGACACACCTCCCTTGCCTCCTCCACATCCTACCTACGCATACACGCTCGTCAGTTAAGGGTACTCTTGAGAATATACTCAATATTGATTGAAATAATGAACATAAAACTAAAAGAAATAATTTATTCAACAACATTATAATAAACTAAAAGTGCTCACGAATCTTGAGAAGTTAATTCGAAATCCAGTAACAACAATTCACAAAAAAGTAAAAAGATTTGGTGATTTTGGTTGCAGACAAAATCAAAATTCTAATTTAATGCAATAAATCAAACATCATTTATGAAAATTAAGTACCTATAATAAACCATTACATAATAATGCATATGATCTGAATAAAAACCTATGATCTCCTTATATAATAAACCTCTTATATTTTTAAAAACAAATCATTCTTTTATTATTCTCACTTTTATCACTGCATATTTTTTTGTGAAAAATAATTAAGTTTTTGATAAAAATATTTAAATAATATTAAACCTACTTTCTTTTTATCAGTTAAGACCATAGATTTATTAAATTATACTTACGGGTCCGTGGGGATAATCCTATTGTAGTAACATGTTCATAAAAATAATAAATCTATGGTTAAAAACATTATTAATACGCAAAGTTTCTGTGATGGCGCTTATTTCTTGGGAAACAGATGAGCACATTCTTTGCAAGCATCATCAATATTATCATATTGATATTTAAATCCATATTCGAGTACCCTTTTCGGTACAACATGCTGGCCTTTGGTCACAATCATGGCTCGTTCAGGATGTAGCAAAAAGTTTAACACTGATTCAGGAACCGGAAAAAATGCTGGTCTGCCCATTGCTTTCGCGAACGACTGTAAAAAATTAAAAGGACCGCTAAATCTCAAAAATTAGCTATAAATTGCATTAACAATATAGAAAACCGTTTTCTATTACAGTTCTCCACGTGAATCCCTAAAATTCTACTCAAATCCCCGAACTGTATACTATAGGGATTTAAAATAGCTACCTATTTTATTAATCAAAATTAATAGAGAAATATTTATTTTATTTATATTATATTATTAAATAAATGCTGTGCAGTAACGTGCGTGATGGCCAAGTGCTTGTTCACGTATATATTATATCAATACGAAGCCGCGATGGTTTAGGCGAGCTCGTGCCTCGTGTTCACGTTGGCCGACAGGAGTGCGCGTGAGTGTGACGTGTTGTCAGAGATTAAAATTTTGTACAACCGAAGTCAATATAAAAAAGAAATTGTTGATTTTTTTTTAAAAGCACCTCCGATTGCGATAAAATTTAAACGGGACCACCTAGGAAGTATACCCAAAAACAAATTCCAAATCGGTTCAGGCGTCTTCGAGTAATCGGTGAACATAAATAAAAAAAGATTCCGACGAATTAAGAACCTCCTCCTTTTTTTAAGTAGGTTGAAAAGTAGAATTAATAAAGAAGACAACTGGCAGATCGTAATAATCACGCGAGGCGAGTCCATTGGGTTGAATGGTCGATCCTATGTAGCGACAAGTTCAAAATTGTTGATCTTACCTGAGGTCGCGAGTCGATCGCGCGCTCCGCCGATAGTTAGACGTGAACCTAACAACTTTGTACGTTTGATACACAAATTATAAAGTTGTATGGTTTGATATAGCTGCGATCGCGCCGAGCGCGATTGTCGCCAGCTTGCTCGCTACTCCCGCCGCACCCGCGTTTTGTACGTAAACAAGCACTAAGAATATTTACTACTTCAAACTATTTGGTGGGTGCCGAAAGAGGCGACAGAGGGAAATTGAAATAGACGATGGGCAGCAGCATTTTCCTGATAACATTTTTAATAAAAAAAATGCAGTTGTCAAATCTGCCAAGCGTGGCAACTTTTGCAAGTGCCCTCTATGATATAATCTATGAGAGAGATAAGTATGATAAGTGGTTATGTATAGATCTATGGAGTTTATTAAATAAATATTAGACTTGAAAAAATTCGAGTGTATTATGATACCATCATAGACTAACAAAGAAAGAAAGAAAGACGGAACGCAGCGTATATTTCAAGTGATGCGAAAACCTAGCCAAAACCATGCTTAATTATTATATATTGTAAACTGACGCACAACTTATGTACACATATGCATCTAAGGCCTACCGTGCACTAGGCAGCCTGGCTGCGCAGCCAAGCTGAGGCGGCCGAAATATTTGAGCAGCCACTTCTAAACAGGCAATGGACGGCCAGTTGTGACCCTCTCTTCGTTATTTTGTAGTTTCGGAACACAAAATACGTCTGGCTGCTGCAAGGGCGCGGTCACTGACGGCAGCCACATACATTTGCCCTACTCGCTCTGACTGCGACAACGGGCTGCCGTGCAATCAGGCGCACTTTTATGGCTGCCGCAGCCGGGAGTTCGTGGTTGCTTAGGTGCGCGGGCTCCCATACACCGTCATATGTTCTACTGGCTGCCGCAGCCAGGCTGCCTAGTGCGCGGGGGGCCTTAATTTGCAATTATTTGCAACCATACAGCATGGTTTTAGCTACATGTGTGCGTCCAGAAGTGAACTTTAACGGGCTGATAAAGAAAGAAAGAAAACGATCTGTATGTAAGTGCTTAAGGATTTAGTTGGAATATCTCGTTTCCAGTAAAAAGGGGTCTACGGTTCTCTACACTCACAATACGTAACACAGCAACATTGAGCTACTATTTTATGCTGGTGTTATTTGTGAAAGGCTATCTCGAAGACAATTTTTGATCGAGTTAAGTTGTAACAGTAAAAAAATATTTTTTTAAACGGTCTCATTTTAATATTCGCTTTTATAAAAATAAGAAGGCGTCTGAATAAAACTTAAAGAAATGATTTATATGAATCCCCCGGAAATCAGTCCGAATATCAGAAGGATGACAAATGTTTTTTTAAATCTCTTAATGGAAGAGCGCATGTTGTCAAATCCCTCAGGGGAATAAAACCTCTTTTTGAATCACAATAAAAAAATTCAAAAATCTTTTTTTATTACTTATATATAGAAATAATCATTACAGGAGAGTTAGTTATTCAAAGATCGCTTAGTAAATCGTCCATTCAGTCAGAACTCAAAACGTACACAGTTATAATTATGTACATGACATTAGTTAAAGCAATGTTAATTCTTTATAAATTTATACAAAATACTAAAATATCTATGTTGTATGTAAATTATACCTGAGTAAACTGTTCGTTCGTTATAACTTGCGGTGCTACGCCGTTCAAAATTCCCTTGACCTCTTCATTTTCTATAGCGAATTTTATTAGTCCAACGAGATCATCAATATGAATCCAAGGCAAATACTGCTTACCAGATCCCAGTCTACCACCTAGACCAAAGAAAAATGGCACAATCATATTCTTTATCATTCCTCCATCACGACCAATGACAGCTCCAGACCGGATTATGACCTGAAAAAAAATTGTAATGCAATAAAACAATGCAAACTGGAGCACTTAAGGCAATGGAGGCCTGGAGAGTCAATGAAAACTAGGTACATAAGGATATATATACAAAATATATCATCACCGTAAGTGAATATGTCAAGCGATAGGTCAATTATTAAAATCATATTTTTTAAAATACATAAGCAGGTACACACCATTTCAAAGTGGCGCCACCCTGGGAGCAGAAAAAGGTCGTGTATAAGACCATTAGCATCGCTGTATGCATAGACTATAGTCTATATAATATAGTGACATGCTTTCTCTTTCGAACTGAATTCAAACCCGACTGGCACGAACACTGAGCCGGTATTTCTTGACAACTGTACTAACGATTGCATGTATGAGCTGATCATTAATGTGCAGTAGGGAAAGATTGAATTGGAAAAAATAGACTTCTGAGAAATACATATAACTCTCATCATAGGCTCTAACGAACAGTCCACGACACCCAGCAGGAAGCTTATCTGAAGGGCTGGGCTAGATATTCTCAGTTGCAGTTTTAAATGTTTTACCACATGCTCATTGGTTTTTTAAAAAAAAAGGTTTTTTTTAAACAGAAACTTTTCTGTTTAAATGCAGCGTGCAAAGCGGCGATGGGGACCGCCACCCGTCACGCACAGCCCGACACGGCGGAAGGTGGAGTGCAGAGTTGGCACGTGGAATGTTAGAGGAGGCATGAGAGATAAGACGAATGAGTTGATCGAAATAATGAAAGAAAGAGAATTAGATGTCGTGTGTATGTCGAAGACCAAACGGAAGGGCAGTGGTACTGAAGAGCTCCCTGGCGGGGCGTTAGCTCTATGGTCCGGAGTCCCGGAGAGCGAGAACGCCTGCCAGGGAGTGGGGGTGCTGCTGTCTTCTCGGTTGGTCGATGTTATGACTGAATATAAGGTTGTGAACTCAAGACTTCTCTGGGTTCGCTTTAAATTGGGACTGACGAAGTTATTCCTTTTGGCTGTTTATGCGCCGGTAGCTTCGTCGTCCAGGGCTGAGCTGGAGGAGTTTTGGGAGAATGTAAGAGAAGTTCTAGATTTGGCTAGGGGAAACGAAAGAATTGTTGTATGTGGTGATTTGAATGGATGGGTTGGTACCGCTCGACCAGGGTACGAGTCGGTACTTGGAAAGTTTGGCGATAAAAGGGTTAATGATGCTGGCAAGCTTATACTGGCGGTGTGCAAGGAAAAGGGTCTTCTTGTGACAAACACTATGTTTAATCACAAGAAAATCCATATGTATACTAGAGAACGAAAGAATGAGAGAAGTATGATCGATTTGTTCCTGGTGGATGACCGACTGCGAAAACAGGTGATGGATACGCGAGTGTTCAGGGGTGCTGACCTGGGAACGGATCACTATCTAGTGATTACTAGATTTAGGGGTCTGTTCGCGGGTTGGCGCTACCGGACGGCAGTAACAGAACCACAGTCGGTCTGTCGCATCCGAAGCTGGAAGCTTCAGGAAGCGGATACTAGGGACAAATATCATGCGAGGGTAGCCGAAAAGCTTGACACCATCGATGGCAGAAAAGAATGTGTAGAAAGAACATGGCAGAACCTTAGGGATGGAATGGTAAGTGCAGCGGAAGAAGTGTGTGGAACAATAAAAAGAGGCAGTAGTAAAAGAAGAGATGCATGGTGGAATGATGAAGTGAAAGAAGCTGTAAAGAAGAAGAAGAAAGCATGGTTAGACTACTTGGCCTCTAGTAATGATAAGGATATGAGAGAGAAGATGAAAGAAAGATATAGGCTGCAGAAAGTTCACACGAAAGCACTGATTGAGGAAGTGCGTGAAAGGTGCAGAATGGAAGCGGGCGAAAGGTTGTCGCACAACTTTAAGGAGAACTCCAAACTCTTCTGGAAAGAGGTTGGAAGGGCCCGAAGTGGTGCGACGGCCTTAAGAATGAACAAAGTGCTTTCGAGAACTAATGACGTCCTCACAGAAAAATCGGACGTCATGCAGCGATGGAGCGAATTTTATAGAGAAATGTATGCCTGTGATGATCTTAGTGAGGGATCCGGGGATGACGCCGTGACTGGTACGCCAGACCCGGACCTCGATGACACTGAGGTCATCAGTATGAAAGAGATTGAACGTGCGGTTCGAAGTTTGAAATGTGGTAAGGCTGCGGGACTAGACAGAGTTGCTGCTGAAATGGTCAAGTATGGTGGGCCTCGCGTCTGGGACAGCTTTCATCTGCTGTGCAATTTATGCTGGCGGACGGGGGATGTCCCGGATGATTGGCGATCCGCAGTCATTGTGCCTTTATATAAAGGTAAAGGTTCACATTTTGACTGCGGGTGCTATCGGGCGATCAGCTTGACCAGTTTAGCAAGTAAAGTTTACTAAGAAGGTTTTGACACGTAGGATGCAAGAGAAATCGGAAAGATTTCTATGGGAGGCACAATGCGGATTTAGACCTGGAAGAGGATGCACGGATCAAATATTTTCTCTCCGCATGATCACGGAAAAGCTTCTGGCTGCTAACCAGAAGATTTTCTGTGCTTTTGTGGATCTTGAGAAAGCATTTGATAAGGTTGTAAGGAAGAAAATGTGGGAACTGTTGCCGGGGTATGGTGTGGATGGTCAATTGCTAAGGGCTGTGCAGTCTCTTTACTGTGACTGTAAAGCCTGTGTGCGGGTAGGGCATGACCTGTCACCCATGTTTAACGTCCAAACGGGTGTAAAGCAGGGTTGTGTCATTTCTTCCTGGCTGTTCATACTGTATCTCGACAGCTGTTTACAGAAGCTGAAAGATAGTTGTTTGGGTGTGAAATTGGGTGACATTAAAGTAAATTGTCTGCTGTATGCTGATGATGCAGTGCTTATTGCACCATCAGAGGCAGAACTGCAGGCATTAGTCACGTGTATGAAAGAGGAATGTGAAATTAAAGGTCTCCGTTTGAATGCTAATAAAACTAAGGTTCTGGTATTTGAAAGGGACGAAAAGAGAACGAAGTGTGAAATATGGGTAAATCAGGAATGTCTAGAACAGGTAAATGAAATTGTATACTTGGGGAGTGCTTTTAGCCGGGATGGAAGATGTGATTTAGATGTGGACAGGCGTGTCGCTGCCGGGAACAAAGTCAATGGTGCCCTGACTGCGTTAGTCAAAAGGCAAGGCGTAGCGAAGAGTGCACGCCTTGCAATACATAACGCAGTGTTGGTACCGACTTTGTTATATGGCAGCGAAACCTGGGTATGCCAGAAGAAGCATAAAAGTAAGTTGAATGCAGTGGAGATGCGATCTCTTCGTAAAATGTGCGGCGTTACCATGGCCGACCGAAAGCGAAACGAAGAGATTCGCAATATGGCAGGTTTGAAAGATGACCTTATCACAAAAATTGATAAGGGCGTGCTTCGGTGGTTTGGGCACGTTGAGCGAATGAGTGAAGACGGAATGGTGAAGAAAATATATAGCGCGAAAGTTAATATTAAAAGGTGTCGAGGTAGACCGAGACTAACTTTCGAAGACCATGTGAGCAAATTGCTCGAAGAGGGTAGGGTCAAAAGTACTCGGATACTTCGATGTGCATGCATGAAGAAGATAATGAATCTGAAAGAAGCGAAAGAGGTTTGTAAGGATCGTGACACTTGGCGATCTGTTCTCTCTGGCTACCCCGTCAGGGATTGTGCGTGAAGATAAGTAAGAAACTTTTCTATTCAAACACACAACACAAACACTCACGCCTGTCACCCAGAGGGGTACGTAGAGACTACGGACTTCCATTTGACACGATCCTGACACACCTGTCTCGCCTCCTTTACATTCATATATCTACGCATACACGCCCGTCGGTTAAGGGTACTCCTAATCTGGCCCATTTTCAATTTATCGCCAATTTGGTTGATACACCTTCGTCTAGGTCGTCCCTTCCCGACTCTACACTTTACTTCTGTAACGTAAATTTGCTTTGTCACTCTTTTCTCGTTCATTCTTTTTACATGACCAAATCACCGAAGCATTCCTTTCTTAATCCTGGTCACAACGTCATCTTGCAAACCACACTTTTCTCTTATCACACTATTTCTCACCCTGTCATTCAGATTCAGCCCTAGCATACTCCTAAATGACCGCATTCCTACAGCATTTATTCTACTCTCATGCTTCTTCTGCCAGACCCAACTTTCACTACCATACATTAAAGTAGGGACTAACACAGCATTATGAATTGCCATACGTGCCTTTTTTGACACATTCGGACTCTTCATAATAGCGTGTAGAGCCCCATTCACTCTATTTCCTGCGTTCACTCGTCGTTCTATATCCTTATCATATCTACCGTCCCTGCTAAATAAACATCCCAAATATACAAACTCATCCACTTGCTCAATCAACTCCCCTTCTATTCTTATTTCACATAACGTTTTACTTTCTTCTCTTTCAAAAACCATCACTTTCGTCTTACTTGCGTTCACTTTCATACCCCTTTCTTTTAATGACCAATTCATTAAAGTAACCATCATTTGCAACTCGGCCGCCGACGATGCAAATATGACTTGATCATCGGCGTACAAAAGGCATTTGACAGTTAACTCACCCATTCTCAACCCTCAACTTTCAAAGTTTGCAAACAACTGTCCATAAATAGGTTAATCAGCCACGGGAAAGCTACACAGCTCTGTCTGACACCTTTTTGAGTGCCAAACCAGTCTCAGTAGACTCTGTTGATCCTGAAACAAGCACTAGAGTCCCTATAAAGAGACCTGCCTCTTCTATTCAATATAGATTATTATCCATAAATTCCTTAATATTATAATAAACCTTTATATACGTTTCAAAGTTTTTTCAAGTTAAGTTTTTGAACTTTGTATATTTTCGGGCACTTTCCTGTAAAAGCGTATACATCGCCCCAAGAATGAATTACTGACTCGGTGGAGTCGAGTAACTGGTAATACTAGCTTGTGTCTGTTTCTAGTATTTATAGAATGAATAACACTTATTTATGTAAAACTACTTTTATTTTTGTGTACGTACGTTACATTTTCAGAAATGTATTGAGAGGCCAAAGTTAATATATTAATTTCCTTAAATTTTTGTCGCAGCGACTCTTTAGGCTTTATATCATAAATTGCTCTTTGGGCCCTCTTCTATTCGTTAACCTCACAATATAATTTTCTCCTGTATCGTGCAGAAGTTTATATGATATGACGGCTCCGTGGCGCAGTGGCTTAGCAATGAGTTTCTGCGCTGGGGGCCGCGGGTTCGAATCCCGCACGGAACAAGTATTTGTATGGCCTACAAATAATTGTTCCGGGTCTGGATGTTTGTCCTTGTGCAATTTATGTTTGTAAACTGCCTCCACGATACAGGAGAAAATCCTAGTGTGGGGGGTAACGTTTTTTTAAAAAAGTAAAGTAAGTAAAGTAAAGTTTTACACCATATTATTTACCATAATTCGCCTGCATCACGCAGAGGATCATATAATTATATGTCCGAATTAATTTTTACAAAACAAAAACACACAGGACCCACAGAACCCGCGCGCGTCTCGCTTAACATAGCAAATGCCCTTGTTTATAATGCACTGAGATTTTCATTTAAATAGTATAGAATATATTGTTTTCTGAAAAAATATTATATTGATTTAAATTTCAATTAACGTATTATCTAGCTTAATTTTTACCATGTTTTATAGCAAAAGTTCAAAATTCAAAAGCACGCACTGCGTAGCGGGCAGCCCGCACAACCTAGTGGTGCTCTTGAATTTTGAAGAAACAGACACACAGGCTAATACCCACGCCGCACCCATTTAACGCAGCTGACATTCTTACACAATGTTAATAATGCAACACTGAGATTTGCATTCAAATAATGTAGAATATATTGTTTTCCCGAAGAATACATAGCTTTCATGGTAAGTCTCAATTAATGTACTATTTAGTTTCATTTTTCCGAGTTTCTATAGCAAAAATGAGCTTTTTAACATTAAAATAGACAAATTAGAAGCCGTAATCTGATGTTAAATAACAAATAGTAAGAAAAATGCAGTCACCGTTAAACAAAGAAGATAGCATGATAGTGTTATATTTTAGTCTTCTAAGGTATCTTCACCTTAGAAGACTAAAATAGAACGCGTCACAACCTTTGATTATTATAATATGTTTATTAGGCTTAGTAGTTGCTTCTATTAAACAATGGCTACTTGAAAGTAATTAAAAATAGATTCATACTTACTAATCTCACTGGTGGATTTACATTTGCAGCCTTTTCCCATTCCACTAAGAGTTGTGAAAAGAAATCAGTTCCAGTAGTAGGACTGCATTCATCATATTTTATAGTATTAGAAGGTTCGTAAGCACCAACTCCGGTTACCAAAACAAATACTTTAGGTTTATCGTTACTCTCATTGATGGCTTGTGATAATGCTCTTGTTGTATAAATACGTGAGTTCTGGACATTTTGTTTGAATCTAAAATTAGTAATTTAAGTCTAGTTAATGTAAACTAATTCTTTCACTCTTTTTATAATTTGGTGTTATTATATGAATTCTGAAGGTTTTCTTTGAAACAAAAATTTTAGTTTAGCTAATGTAAACTCAATTCTCTTAATGTTTTTATAATTATACATAAAATATGCATTAATAATTTTGTTATCAGTAATAATATATTATAATTTATAACAAACCATTTAACATATTCAACCCACCTTATCCAAAAGATATATGTACATATGTATACCAACAAGCATATGGAGTATAAATAGAAGAATGAATATAATAATTTAAAATTAAAAATTTTGGACAGCCGACTTCAATATAAGTTATTTAAGAATAACTCCAAAACTATTGGTCTGACCTTGATCAAATTCATATGGGACCACACGAGGACTATCAGCTTTCATATAAAAAAAGAATCATCGAAATTGGTTCACCCAGTTCAAAGTTATGAGGTAACACACATAAAAAAAACATACAGTCGAATTGAGTACCGTCTCCTTTTTGGAAGTCGGCAGAAAAGCTAATAGGTACATCACAATATCAAAGCCAATAGGTATATAAATGAGCACTTTTTTCTGATAGAGCTTTTAATTTATATATACGTAAACAACAACACATAGTTTAATACTTCGGTACTAAGTGGACTATTGTCAGCACATGGAATTAATTGGTGTTGTGAACATATTTGCTGCATGCAATCTGAAACAATGGCCACCCCCGCTGCTTTACACATGACGTTATAAGTGCAGCTAGCCTGACCTAGCCATGGCTGGTTAAGCAGCTTACAGTTTTGCTATTAGATTTAGTTGTCTGCCACAAATTATAAACTTTTTCAAAACCAGTAAGTAGTAACAATGTGATCAAAATGTTGAGTAAAACTAAAATTAATTTTAAGTAGAAAATATATAAATAGACTTATTTATTTTAATACCTACATAAAACAGTCTTTATGTTTACTAATATTTTAGTTTTTGATAATCATTACCAGCATTGTGCACAAATAAAAAAAAAACAAAATGCCTTATATAATTATAAATAAATATCAACTGATTTAAATCTACAAATATTATTTAATATAGTATACAACATAGTTTAATACTTCGGTAGTAAGTGGACTATTGTCAGCACATGGAATTAATTGGTGATGTGAACAAAGTTGCTACATGCAATCTGAAACAATGGCCACCTCCGCTGCTTTACACATGACGTTATAAGACGTTCTAAATAAATTAAATTACATTAATATTACATTGTGATGTAATATAATCATACTCTGGATATGGCAAGTACTTTACTTGCAGTACTTTTATCTTTTTTGAACCCCTCTAAATTTGCATTGAGTGAGCAATTAATATCTAATTATGTTCTTTGTATATATCCCCAATTTACCTCAAAATTTAAAAATTATTTTCTTAAAACTATAAATTTTCATATAAAAAGCTAGGGCTTGCATCAGAATATTACTAATAAATCAATTAAGAATCACCAACAAAATCGTACTGCAGGACACTACGGCAAACCCTACGTATTAAGTATATGGTACTACTAACCCAGGCGTCCAACTCTTAGTGAAGTCCATAAATTGTTGTCCTGCGCAATTAACAACTGCCTTTGTATTAGGTGGTAAGCCAGAATTTTCTATAGTCGACCAGGATACATTATTGGCTCCAGGCATACGTGATACATTCACAATATTATAACCAGTGGTAGAAAGCAATTTTCGTAAGTTTTGTCCTATAAATCCTGTGCCTCCGCCTATTCAATAATATATTTTTAAAATTAGTCATTTTTTTGTTAATCATTGAATGGAATACAAGTTAATATTATAATTCATACCAATTAAAACTTTATTTGCTGACATTTTTCTTTATTATATAACTTCTTAGCAATTAGATTATCATTTTCCAATTTATAATACTCATAAATCTAAAATTTTATTTCAATACGATACGAGTTAAAACTAAATCCATAAATATTACAAAGTTTTAATTCCAAAATAAAATAATATGTAGCGTATTTTTTTCTATTTCAGGTACATACATACATATTCAGTTTATTTTTAGCAGCTGACAATGACAATGAGTGACATTGATTTATTATTGTTGTTATTTATATTTTTATTGATATGGATTAGTGTTCCTTAAACATCGATAGACTATCGATTAATCGATAGTGTTTGCACTATCGATTCTATCGATAGTCTGGTTAAACTATCGATTGGCATCCTTATCTTATATTTTGTCTATAGTAAATGTTTCCCTTTAGGCCGGCCACATACATACGGAATTCCGTTTCGAGATTCCGTTTCGATATTCCGATTCGGAATCCCGAACGCAGCAAGTCCATATAAAATCTATGACCTGCCACACACGTACGGTAGTTTTCCGTTCGATATTTTGTGGGCAAAACGGGATTCCGTTTGTGTGTGGCCGACCGTTTGGTATTCCGAAACAGAATCTCGAAACGGAATTCCGTATGTATATGGCAGGCCTTAGTCTAAGGTCAGAGAAATCCCTGTAAATAAACTGTGTGTGAACCTCTATCTACGGTGTAAGGCCGGCCACATACATACGGAATTCCGTTTCGGGATTCCGTTTCGATATTCCGATTCGGGATTCCGAACGTAGCAAATCCATATAAAATCTATGGCCCGTCACACACGTACGGTAGTTTTCCGTTCGAAATTTGCGGACAAAACGGGATTCCGTATGTGTGTGGCCGATCCGTTCGGAATTCCGAAACGGAATCTCGAAACGGAATTCCGTATGTATGTGGCGAGCCTTAATAGCTAATTAATATGTGTGACGCTAACGTAAGTCGCTATTTGTGAGAGTGTTAGAACGGGCGGTTGATCTTGCGTTTTATAGTTTACTTATTTGTTTTGTATTTTGACTTCTTAATGGTGGAGTTATTTCTAGATAGTGGACAGTAATAGTCCGTTTGTAAAGTGTAACTTTTATAATCTGGAATATAAGCATTTAGGAAATACGACCAATCTAAGAGATCACTTGAAAAGAAAGCATGCCAATAAAATAGATACGTTAGAATCGGAAGAGGGATTATCGTCTGAAGATCAAGTTCAAGATGAAGTGCAACCAAAAAATCTAGAAGTTCTTTTAAGAATTATTTTGACTTTCCTTCACAGTTCTACACTAGTCAGTGATAAATTGCGTATTTCTCAAAGACGAGCATTCAAAAAAGTACAATAATTAGTTATTATTATTTTTATTTGTGATACCTACCTTTTAGGAGTGGTAGAGCCACGCGGCAGCTTTTGCTGTCGCACGGATGGGCCGGCTCGAACCGGGGTGGTACCACGACCTCACAGAATACCAGCGTGAAGTAGAGGTTTACCTCTGCGTTTCGTTTGGTGAGTAAAGGTGGCCGGAGGCCCTTTTTACTGAAAATGAGGCATTCCATCTTAGTCCTCACGGGTGACAACGCATCGCATTTTGATTCGCAAACGAGGATAGATGTAGATGTCTATGGGCCACAGCAACCACTTACCATCAGGTGGACTGTGTGCTCGTTTGTCACCCTTATCCTATAAAAAAAAACCTGCTCAAAGACAATCGACAGTCTATCGATATATCGATGGACTTATGAGAAACTATCGATTACTATCGAATACTTCAACAATCGATGTTTAATGAACACTAATATGGATAATGCTAAGTCTATGGGATAATGTTGATACTTTGCTAACTAAGGCAGATAAAAGTCTCAGATCATACAGTCTAGTCTTAATCACAATTTTTGAAATGAAACCATTTAAGGGAGGGCTTTAAAATTCTGGTCCACAACCTTTTTGTGTGACGAAAAGTGGTGGGAGTAAACACTACGTACCAGGTCATTCAGGTCGATCATTCAAATCGCGAACGCAGGCCATTACGTACCACAAAGTTTAAAGTAATACAATTATAATTACAAGATTATAACGGTATTTCGTTCAATACTATTCTTATATTAATTTTGTTTAAGACAGTTACCAAGGTACACGTATTTATTTTAGAAAGCGTGATCGCATTTGAATAATAGTGTCATGTGCTACATTGTTTAGCTAAAACCATTTTATCGAACGTAAAGTAGAGTAGATGCTAGATAGCATAAGCCCAAAAAATTAATATTAATCGCGAAGTTTAGAAATCCTGGATTGTTATTCGGTACCACGCTACTAGTTATTTTTGCTGTACTACTCAGTTTTACGTGACAAAGCTTATAACTAAAACTACACATACACTAGTGTTAACAATATTTTTTCTTGAATTTTAATATTCTACGCAAAAATCAAACAATGTCTGGTGAATGGATAGGACAAACATGATATTTTTTTTGTGTTTAAGTTATTTAGCGTCTCTTCTACGTACTACCATGAGTGTTAATCAATTTTGGTTCAATAAAAAGACTACTTTTAGAATGAAGTGGATGACGCTATTAAAAAATTAAAAAAAGAAAATAATGAGATAGAGCAAAGTTTAATTAAAATTACAATTTGTAACTTATCATTTAAATACATTTTTGTATTCATATTATAAAACTTTGGTTTAATTAAAATAAATTAACAAATATAACGATAATTATTATATATTAACCTATTAACAAAGTAAACCTATAAGTTCTCTTCTTAAGATCGAAGAAGATGATGCACTGTGACACATAATATGTATATAATTTTATGTAAATAAATGAATGATATACACAATCTATGCTTCATGACATACTGTTTTTTTATAACACATATTGCGTTATATTGCAAAGCTTTTAGGAAATTTTGACGACAGCTTAACCGAGCGGGCAGATGATGTCGATAGTACCTCAAGACGTCTAAACAGATAAAAAAATTGGTAAATGCATGCCTTAAGCGCATTTAAAAAATTACGTAAAACATGATTATACGGAATTTTTTAAAGTAGTTTAAATACATTTCGACAGCACTTTCGGCTTCAACACCCTCGAAAACCATGAAAATGACACCCATGATGAAAAAATTGATATCTATTGCAGCCGCCACCTTGGATTTACATTTCGACAGCACTATCGGTATCAGCACTCTCAAAAACCATGAAAATGACACCCATGATAAAAATAGATATCTATTGCAGCCGCCATCTTGGATTTACATTTCGACAGTACTATCGGCTTCAACACCCTCGAAAACCATGAAAATGACACCCATGATGAAAAAATTGATACTCATTGCAGCCGCCACCTTGGATTTACATTTCGACATCACTTTCGGCTTCAACACCCTCGAAAACCATGAAAATGACACCCATGATGAAAAAATTTATACATATTGCAGCCGCCACCTTGGATTTACATTTCGACAGCACTATCGGCTTCAGCACCATCGAAAACCATAAAAATGACACCCATGATGCAAAAATTGATACCTATTGCAGCCGCCATCTTGGATTTACATTTCGACAGCACTATTGGCTTCAACATCCTTAAAACCCATGAAAATGACACTCATGATGAAAAAATTGGTACCTACTTCAGCCGCCATCTTGGATTTACATTTCGACAGCACTATCGGCTTCAACACCCTTGAAACCCATGAAAATGACACCCATGATGAAAAAAATAGTACCTAATTCAGACGGCATCCTGGATTTACATTTCGACATCACTATTGGCTTCAACACCCTCGAAAACCATGGAAATAACACCCATGATGAAAAAAATTATACCTACACTATCGGCTTCAACACCCTCGAAACCCATGAAAATGACACCCATGATTAAAAATATGATATCCATTGCAGTATCGGCTTCAGCACCCTCGAAAACCATGAAAATGTCACCCATGATGAAAAAATAGATATCTATTGAAGCCGCCATCTTGGATTTACATTTCGACAACCCTATCGGTTTCTACACCCTCGAAAACCATGAAAATGTCACCACTGACAAAAAATTGATACTACTTACTTTTAGTACGTACTACTATTATTTATTCTGTGCTTTTAAAATATTGTAATAAAAAAAATCTCTTATTATTATTATAAGCAAGTTTTTAAGAAATTTGGTTATTCGAATATTGTGTAATTTTGTACAGCGATCTTTTTGAGTCGCTGCAAACAACCGAAACAATGTCTTCTCACGACGGCGACTGACGCCGAACTGAGTGAGTGAGTAAACTACTCTGTGGCTATAGCTCCCTATTTACAGAAATAATTTACATACAAGGCTACCAAATCAACAAAAATTTCGCCATTTTGGAGCCGAAAAAAATTAATTATAGCTAAACAAAACAAAATTACACTGCCATTTACATTCAGTGGCTTCCCACATGATAGATGAAGAGATTAAAAAATAGATTGAGTTAAACAATTGATAATTTGAAAAGTTATCATGTTTACAAGCCTTGGGGACCAATTAATCGATTTAAAAAAAAAATAAGTTCTAAATAAAAAGAAATATTCCTTTCACCGAGTATAGGTCAGCTAAGAGTTTTACAAAATTCCGCCCGCAATGGGGTTGCGGGAGCGTTAATTAAAATATTATATTTTCAAACTATAGCTTTTATAAGTATAAAACTTGGCCAAAATATTCGTTTTGGCAGGTTAAAAATTATCAAGAACGGATTTTATGAGATTCCACCCACAAAGGGCAGTGCAGGGGCGTTAAAAATAAAAAAACCGGCCAAGTGTGAGTCGGACTCGCGCACCAAGGGTTTCGAACAAATCCGTAGGTATATAAGTTTAAAATTATTAAAAATATTTTTATTATATGATGTAACTAAAAATTTATGCTTTTCGCAATTTTTCCTTTATCTGTGCTATAATACGTTACTTCATACCAAATTTTAAGATTCTGAGTTCACGGGAAGTACCCTGTAGGTTTTGATTACCTTGA